TTACAGGGAATAGAAAGACACATCCATAAGGAAGGCGGGACTTGTGACAAAAGACAGACATCCTGGGTCTGCTACCTTCTGGGTCTGCAGCACTGGATCATTTGTTGACACCCTCTGAGCCTCAGTTTCCCTTCTGTGAAAAGGCTGCTTCTGGGGGTTGCTGTGATAGTCAAAGGTGAGGAAAACTGATTGTATATAGTGTAACCTGCTTCTTTCTATTTTCTTGAGGAAACATTCATAAGACAAACCTGACTCACACCAGTCTGCCTATTTGCCTGCCTGCCTGCCTGTCTTCTTTCCCTCCTTTCTTCCTTCCTACCTTCCTTCTCTTTCTTTTCTTTTTTCTTTTCTTTTCTTTTCTTTTCCCTTCCCTTCCTTTCTCTCTTCCTTTCTTTTTTCTTTTCTCTTCTTTTCTTTTCTTTTCGCTCTGTTGCCCAGGCTGGAGTGCAGAGGTGCAATCTCTGCTAACTGCAACCTCCACCTCCCAAGCTCAAGCAATTCTCTCACCTCAGCCTCCTGAATAGCTGGGCTTACAGGCATGTGCCACCACACCCAGCTAATTTTTGTATTTTTAGTAGAGACAGAGTTTCACCACGTTGGCCAGGCTGGTCTCGAACTCCTGACCTCAAGTGATCCACCTGCCTTGGCCTCCCAAAGTGCTGGGATTACAGGCGTGAGCCACAAGACCTGGTCTCCAGTCCCGTTTCGGGATGAAATTGTGAGAATACTTTTGTCTTTGATCTAATCGCATGTGATTTCAACAAATGCTTCTATTTCCCAGTGCCTAGTGGTTTGGTTTCACAGTGTCTGCCACCCACATAGCAGTGATGTCTATGGTCTTTGATTGTCATTCTTCCATGGACTCGAGAAACTGTGCAGGTTGGTGCTGGTGAAGAATTTTCATTCAGATGTAGAAACAGTGGGTTCTTCATATATACTTGGCATAGTATTAAGCTAAACATTTGAAATTAAAACCAAGGGAAAAGTGGTATGCCAATAGGCTGTCTGTGCAGATGAGCATAGTTACTATAGGTGGGATTCAGGATTTGACTCTGAGCTTCCTAGCAGCCAAGGCAAAAAGGTAATTGGATTGGATTATTTAATGCTTACCATCTAGAAAAAGAAAGCATGCCAATTCTTTGATTGAAATAAATTCTAAAACTAACATGGTAATAGCTTCAAAAATAGTTCTACAGGGAATGCAGAAATGTATAAGATGAGTTTTTTCCACATATGTGCGTAATTCTAAGGCTTTCATCCATTAGGAAGCTAGAATAATAAAGTCCAGTAGCTTTTTAATGATCCAGCTGCACTTAAGGACAGAACTCAGAACCTGTTGCAGAATCAGTGAAGCATATTCCCATCATTAAGCAGTGTCTAATCCTGGCTGCATGTCAGGATTAGCTATAGAGAAACCTGTGAATCAGAATTTTGGGAGTGGGGCCACTTTCTCTGTTTTCCCTAGAGATGCTGATGCACATCCTTATTTAAGAACAGCTGATAAATTATCTTAGCAAAGGAGTTAAGCAACATACAACTAGAGACCAGATCCTTCCAAAAGATCACAAGCATTTAATGTGGGTTGCTAATCTTTTAAAAAATTTGAACAAATCTGTGGCTTATCCAGATACTTTGAAAACGCACTCGCCTGTATTGATGAGTCCTGGTACCCTCTCTTTCTTTGGTCTCCCAAGCAGGAGATGGTGTGTTTGGGCAGTTCAACACTTGAACATTTTGGCACTGGAAAGGCCATGCTCTTTCATGTCTCAAGCAGTTCGCTCATGCTACTACCCCTACCTGATACCCTCTTTCCCTGTTCACCCCACCCCACCCATCCTCATCCCTCACCTTGCTAACCCCTGCTCATCTTTGTGACCCCACTTAAATGTCATCCCATGCAGGAAGCCTCCCCAAGGACACACACTTGAACAAGGTCTTTCTCCCAGCAGCTCCTTCCTGACCCTCCTGAGGACTGGTAACTTCCTGTTCCATAGTGTTTTCTCCACTCTCCCATAAGGACAGATATTATTTGGTCTTCTTTGCCCTGTATCTCTGATACTCACCATAGAGCTTGGTGTATGATAAATGTCTAATACATATTTGTCAAATGGATGTATAAATATATGGCCTGCCACATTGTATACATGGGGAAACTGAGGATCAGAGAGGCAATCTCCAAAAGTTCAACTGAATGTCAGTTGGAGAACCAGCCTATAGGAATCATGAATATGATAAAAATGTACTGATCCTTTACTATGTTTCTGGCACTCTGCTCCATACTACTCATCCATTATCTAGATCAGTTGTTACCAGATGACTATGGGGTCATTCCTAAAGCCAGGTACCATCTTGATTCTCTCTTTCCCACATCCCCAATCCCCCATCATGTTCTGCCAGCACTTCCCACAAAATACATCCCATATCTGACCTCCTTCACTCCACTATCGTCTAAGCCACTGCCATTGATGGCTTGGACTACTGCAATGCCACAGATGATCTCCCTGCTTCTCCTCTCACCCTCTGCCCCATTTATCTTCCCTACTAGCAGCCAGACAGATCTTACAAATACAAATCAGATCATGTTGCTCTTCTGCTTAAAATCTTCCGACGGCCTTCTACCACACTGCAGTGGCATGCATAGTTCTTACCATGCCTTGAGGCCAGCAGGATCAGCCTCGCCTCACTCTCTGACCTCCTCCACCACTTGCCATACCTCTTCCTTCTCTGCAGCCACACTGGCCGCCTTTCAACTCCACAGCTCGCTGAACTCATCACCCCTGCTCCTCCTTCGGGGCCTGTGCCCAGGCTGTCCTATCTACCTGAAACCCTCTTTCTATGTCCTCACTGCCCAACTGCAGGTATTGGCATAGCTGGCTCATGCTTGTCACTCTTATCTTACTCAAATGTCACTTCTTCAGAAACATCGTCTGTAACCCACCCCAATCCAAACAAGCCCCTTTAGTCATCACCTTATGCTGCTTTTTTCCTTATAGTACCTACACTATGAAAATTTTTCTTGTGCATTTATTAGCTGCTCTGCTTCCTTCTCTAGTGAATGGCTCCTTGAGTTATTTTCAACCCCCAAGACCTCATCTGCGTCATTGTATCCTCCATACCTACAGCATCACTTGCTCCCTCATTATAAATGTTTTTAACTAACAAGTAAACACCCATTTTTCAGATGAGATAACTGACAGTCAGAGGAATTAAGTGAGTTATCCAAGATCACACACTGAAGAAATGGCAGACTGGAATTTGACCATATGCAGCCTTTCTCTGGAAACTTCAATCATTCCTAAAAGTCCAGATACCCTGTCTTTGAGCCCAATGCCCAGTTCTCTCCACCATTCCTGGTTCCTAGAAGGGGAGGACTGAGGACTGAGGACTGGGTGGCTTTTTCCTCCCTGAAGTCTGAGATCCTCAGACAAATTGGGTTTAAGAAAGTGTCTTTCCCCACATGGACTGTAGGAGGCAGGATGCCAGGGTTCCATTTGCTGCTCCTGTAGCCCATCCCCTATTTGAGGACATTCTGGTAGTCCCCACTGTGACATTAGGGGAGCAGCCCTCACACAACCCTGCTCCTGGGCCTCAGATGTAATAAGATTTCCTCCTGCCTGAGAGCCACTGAGGACAGGGTGATGTGTGTGAATGAGACATGACCATACTTTAAGGAGTGCACAGGCTCTGTCTTCAGCATGCAGGGTCTGAGAGCCTTGAAGTCACCATACAGAGAAGCAATGCTGAACATGAACAGGAACACACCTGGGAGGTGAGCTGCAGCAGGAGAGGCGGAGCATCGCCATCCTGCCACACACTGGATTTATGAAGAGGAAAGTCATTTCCCGAGCCTCAGCTTACTCATCTGTAAAATAGTGATAGTAAGCACCAGTGCACAGCCCCCGTATGCTCGTTCTCATTATACTCACTCAGATGATGAAGCCGGGTAGGCAAAGGACAGAAAGGCAAGTCATTGCTGAAGAGACATTTGAAGAAAACATGAGATAATAGGAGTTTGAATAACATTAATGTTCCATTCCCTTGCATGGCACATTGCTTTACAATGCACTTTCAAGTCTATTGTCTCTGGGACTCCTCACCGCCCTCCTATATACACATTGCTATTATCATAATTACTTTCACCTCAAGCAGACAATATCCTCAGGAAAGAAGATATGCAGTCTCAGATATATACATAGTCATGTAGCAAGGGGTAATGGTTTAAAAAAAAAGCTCAGATATTTATAGTAAAGTCTGTTTTTGAATTTGCATTCTCCCATTCCAATCCTTGTTAAAGTCTCTGAACATCAGTTTCCTCCTCTCTAAAATGGGAACAATGGTTTCTGCCCTGCCTACCTACCTCCCAGAACCTTGACCTTATAAGTAAAAGATGAACGCCACAGTGCTATGAGGTGATACTGTCACTTGTCCCACCAGAGGATATCATTGCTTACTCTTCTCACTTTTTTCTGAAGCAGAATTGATCCTCTCTCTGAAAGTGGTGTTTTCTGCCTGCCTTTTAGAATCTGAGAGAAGATTCTAGAAGAATCTGGCCTAGTCTACTAGTCTTGGAGGCATGTGACGTAACTGCAACCTTGAGAAGACATACACGTAAGATATCTGAAGCCTTACAGCCACACACAGAGGGCGCCCTGGGCACCCTACTGAGTCATCACCCATGGGTAACCTCGTCCACTTTTGGAGAGTCTCAGAAGACACAGGGTCACAGACCAGAAAGTATCCAGATAAAAACAGCCTTGCCACAAAGCCAAAGCAGCCCGTGCCCAGGCTGTTAGAGAAAGACTGAGGTTGCCCACATGAGCTGATTTTGCCCATTCTCAGGCTAAATCGTGCAGAACCACTTCTTGTCCACCCATACCTTGTCTGCCCATGAGGTCAAAGGTGCCACCTGTGAACCCAACAGCAAGCGCTCCAGGGCAACCCCAGCCCAGCACACGGTTGTTCCTGACCTCTTCCCACTGGCAACCACTGCACGTCTTGTCCTGCCCAATTCTCCACTTTTTGTTCTGTTTAACAGTTGTGAGAGGAGCCGTGGCCTGCCCTGGGAAGTGTCTGCAGTGAGAGCAGGCACTGAATTGATTTTCAAGATTAATTGTCATCTCCAGCTGGGAAGCAGCTTGCACAGGAACTGAGCAATCTTCCTGGGTTTTCTCCTGCTTCAGAAATCACTTTCTCTGCCAGGTGTCTGATAAGACTGGATTGGTAGGTCCTAGGAGGTCTTTTCCCGGTCACTGAAGGATTAAGTCTTCCAAAATGTGAGCATGAGGAGACATGAAGAGAACCTCTAGTAAGAAGGGCTCACCCTGTAGTTGTAAGTTTCATCTTTGCTGTGTGAACCTAGGCAAACTGCTTAACCTCTCTGAAACTTCAGTTACTCATCTGAAAAAATAGACAATTAACACCTACCTTATTGTGTCCTTGTGAAAATTAAACATAATGTATGCAAAGTGCCTGCCCAGAAAAGCATTCCATAAAATGAGTGATGATGATTATTTAATTCCCCGCTTCCAGTATCTGACCTCACCCAGAGTTGTTTCTTCAAACTGAGTTTATATTTTGCACAGAAACTATATAAATTAATAAGGGAGGCTAAAAGAAAATAAATGAATAAATTTGTTATTTGGCTGAGAAAATTTTGTCACTTCCATAGTCCAAGTTCCTGATGGTTCCATACCTTGGTGGTTCATCTTCTTCATCAAGCTCACCTGCCCATCTCACCTCTAAATGGTCCCCAGACCATTCTGGTGTTGAGAATAGATCCAGTGATTTAGCTTATCCTGTTTCTTGGACCAGTGCCAAAGCTCCTCCTTATTAATGTTCAACCAGTTCTCTCTTAAAGTCTCCTCTGCCTCAGGGGCGCTTCCTCTGGCATGAGATTACTGGTTCCCATGTTAGTTGCCAGACTGCGAGGTCCATCTGTTGAGATCCACTGAATGACCTTGATTATTAGCCATGCTTGCTTGAAATGTCACAATGTACTCACTTCTGTAAGAACCAACTCCCTTGCTACCATCCACAACCCAGCACCCATTGTTTCTCATCTAAAACAGAATCACGCTGGATGCTTGTTAAAGATGCATAGTCCTGGGCTATACCCATGGTACCGAAACAGGATCTCTAAGGGTAAGGCTAAAAGTCTGCCTGTGTAGGAAACCCCAGCTCATTATTGTGCCGATGAAAGGTTGAGAATCACTCCAGGAAAGTAACAGAAAAGACTCTTAAAATTACATAGTCCTCCCTCTGCCTTTATCCATGGAGAGCAGTGTGTAAACATCTGAGTGAGGCAATCCACCATATAGAAGCATTTGCTGTCTGTGAAGGGCCCACGTGTTCAAGAAATTGTAATGAGAAATCTTAGGGCAAAAGACGAGTTCCATATTCAGTTCATCTGTATATCATTTCATGCAGCACAGGGCTGGCCGGCAGATGGTGTGCACTGAATGTTGAGTTTATGTCTATATGTCAACCTCCATCTGATGGGCAAAGCAGGGAAAAGCATTTTATTTTTACTTGAATGTTGCCAAAATGAATTTAGTTTTATAATATTACAGATTACTTGATATCCATGGAGAAAGGTTTTATGTATACATACATACATATTTGGCCAGCAAAAAGAAAGGACGTGCTCTCTCAGACTTATGGTGAAAAGGAAGAAAAGAAAATAATATCGAGGGCCAACTATATGTGCCTAACATTTTCATATATTTTTATACAGATATCTCCTATAATCTTCTAAACTACCTTAGGTATGTGTTATTAGTTCCACCTTCAGATAAAAATTGTAACACAGGCTTTAATCATTTTCCCTATTTCCCTTAGCTACTCAGTGGCAAAGCCCATCTTCAGACTGAAGTCTGGCTGAATTAAAAACTGCACCCTTGCTCTTTATTCTTGGTTTCCTTCTTAGCAAATGTTTGTGTGGCTCTTCATATTTAACAGAGTGTGTCTAAGTAAATCAGGGTCTACTAGGGAACATAAAAGAAATGGACAAATATCTATCTCAGGAGGTTGACCTGGATTTGAAAAGAGATGTGATGTTATGGAAGTTCACAGGAGGTGGCAGTTGGGATTGGCCTGTAAAGATTGCTCTAGGGGAGAGACAGTGAGAGGGCATATCCACTGGCAGGAACTCCTCTATGAATAATCACATAAAGGAGGAAACATCAAGTAATCCAGATTGACTGGAGCAGCAACCAAGGCTTCAGCAGAAGAAGGAAGCATGGCCTTATAATACGGCCACTGGACATAATTTTATTTTTCCCCATCAATACTCTACAGCCCTGGAAATTGGGGGCACAGGAACAGTACAACTTGTTCCAGTGCAGAAGTGGCCAAATGTCAATGATGTAAGGGTTGGCATAAAGTGTCCAACTGTGGCAATGGCTGGCTCTGGAGCTTCAACTGAGCTATAAATCATAGAGAATCACAGAAGGAAGTTGGGATGGACCATGAGAACATGAAGGATGGATGATGAAGAATAGGAGCCTGTAATAAAGGATTTAACAATTTGAATTCTTTCTACTGCAAGGAACAGAAAACTCTGAATCAAATTAGTTTAAATTATAAGGAAATTGATGTGTTAGCCCATATAACAAGAAGTCCATAAGTAAGGCACCACCAGAGAAAGACTGTGAGGGCCCTGCTTCTCTTACAACTGCAGTTTCTGTGCCCTTCTCTATTATATATTGGCTTCATCCTCAGGTCAGTAGCAAAATAGCTACAAGAATTGTAGAGATCACCCCAGAGAGTACATTATCCAGGGGAAATCTGGGACTGTCTCTTTCTTGTGTCTTTTACTAGGAAGAAGGAAATAGTTTCCAAAAGCCCCCCAGCAGACTCCCTCTCATGTCTCATTAGCCTGAAATAGGCTAATGTGCCCATGTCTATACCAAGCACAGCAGAAGGAAGGGGTTTCCGTGATTGACATATCATCTGGGGTAGAATAGATGCTGGGGAGTCAGATGAATGGCCCCTGCAATGGGAAAAAGAGGGAGTCCAGGTGTTCTTCCTAAGCCCTTGGGTGTTTCTCATGCTCCCCTCTTTAAATGCTCCCATCCACTCTGCAGGGACATGCCATTACTTTCTCTTTACAAATCAGAACATAGAGGCTGGGGCAGCAGGCCCCTGCCCAGCGTCCCACATCTCTGCCATGCTCCAAAACCTCTCCTCTATTTATTACTCTGCACTGCAGGTTCTGGAAGAAAAGCGGAAAGACAGAAGCTGTGCCCAGAGAGGGGAATTTTGGTGCTGAATGTCTTACATGTGGCAACTTTTTTTTTTTTTTTAAGTGTTACATGTTTAGTTGGCTTCAATGAAGCCCTCTAGGGCTGAGGACTGTGAGGGCAACAGTTTAAAGCAGCATCAAAAACAAAGAATACTCGAACAGGTAGACTGAGAAGTTTCCCTGGGGCAGAATCCTGTAAATAACCCACTGGATTGCGGAGGGTGGGGCGGGACCTCTGGCGTCTGCTGTGGGTCTTGTGACAAGTCACACACCTTGAGCAGAGGATGAAGGAGCCTGGCTGGGGAGCCGGTCTGCCTAAGTAGGTTGGCTCAGGCATCATTATTTTCTTTCCCTCCTCCTTGTACTTCATACCAAATATGGAAACAGATACCTGCTTAACCATCTGTCTCTAAAGAACTACAGTTCATCCTGTATATGGCAGGAGCCAGATGGGGTGATGTGTTCTTTTTTCCTGGGCATTCATAGAATGGGAAATCTGTGAGCTGGAAGCAACCTGAGTAATCATTTAGTCATTTGCAGGTGAAGAAAAATCAGGAGCCAGGGAAGCCAAGTTAATTGTCCTGGGACAGTAGCAGGGCTGGCCTCAAACCAAGTGTCTTACCTCCCAGGCCAATGCCCTTTCCACTGAACTGAGCTGTTTTTCATCATCTAGTTGACAATAAAAACTGAAAGCAGATGTCTTTTCTCTCTTCCCAAGAGAATCTCAAACACACTGCAGTTGATGTCCAGGGTGGGCAAGCATTCTCCCAGAATCCACACTGAATTTGCTGTTGACTCTTCTCAGAACTAAACATTTTTCATGTCTACCTGGCCCTTTACAGGGCAGGGTCTGCATGGCTGTATTTGACATTTTCCTCTACAGTTACCTTCTGTGTTGTGCCAGCAGCCTTCCCTGGCCTCTAGCAATGTGATACATCGTTGCAGTTTTGCTCTTTAGCCATTTAATCCTGGCTTCATATTAATAACACAAGTCTAAACCATTAGGAATTATTGGGGTTGAAAAGGTGCAGGCAGAAGTGGCCTGGAATGACAGCTGCTCTTTATTTAGGGCAAAGGTGATCATAATTCATAAAGAGCAATGAACTAGTTTTTGGACTGACAGAGTAAGAGTCAAAAGATTGGGAAGATCTGAAGGCTCCCCGATCTTGGATCCTAGAACTTAGAAAAATACAGAGGCTGCTCTGTCATCCTACTTTCATCCCAAGCAGTTGAGCTCTTATCTAGCTTGACTTTGAATCCTAGTGGGTCTTGGTGACCAGAGATGAACTTTTATTGTAGGAGATCACAGAACCAGCTTCCGGGCCTGGTGTACCAGAGGCTAGTATATAGTCAACAGCAGAAAGCAAATGAAATTAGTAAAATCCCATTGCCCACTTGAGAAGACTTACACAATGCTCTTAAAAACATTTGATATTGGGCTCAATGGAAAGGATGGTGGAAGGTTATGGCTATAGTTAGGTTTTCATCTTCTCTAATAGGAACATCAATAATATCTAATACTCCTAAAGTCACTCCTTGTGAAAGCTGTTAAATGTAACTCGACCCACTCCTCTTCTCCTCTCCCCAAAGTTCATCATGTTTTAAGGGTAAAAATCCAAGTAGTATTTGTCCTTTACTCTCAAATAGCATCCTCTTGGGCCTGGATGAGTGTCAGGCAAGCCAGGTGCTTAGGGCACAAAATTTAAGAAAGCACTCACTCTAAGAGTCCTAAAATGCTGTGTGCTAGAGCTCTGACTTGCCTGTTTCCTGCACCATCACCCTCTTGAATACCTGACATGCAGGAGATGGGTGGTGAATATTGGTTTGCAGGATGCTCTCTCTACTACTTGAAATCCTCTGTCTCCCCATCACCTGCAGAAGAAAGTCCAAAGTACTGAATGGGGCCAACACCACCCTCTGTGAGCTGAGCTGGCTCCTGTATCCATTCTAGCCTTAGATACCTTCAGACTCTGCCTTATTTTACACTCCACCAATGCTTAACTCCTTAAGGCCCTCTCCCATGGGGTCCAGCATAGAGTTGATATTCAGTAAAAGATTGTTGAATGAATTGATGTGTGAGTGCAGAAACACTGTTACTACACTGATAGAATGAGTCCACATTATGACTGAGATAGAAGACCTAAGGAAGTGGTCTGGTAGTGTCTAAGTGGGCAGGCTCTGGAGTCAACTGCCTTGTGTGAATCTTATCTTCATCAGGAGCTGTGTCTATCACATCTGATTTTCCCTAAGTTTCGATTACCTCCTTCAAAAACAAAGGAGGGAGGGAGGGAGGGAGGAAACTTGGAAGGGGGAAGGGAGGTGAGAAGGGAGGGAAGAAAGGAAGGGAAGAAAGAGAGAAGGAAGGAAGGAAAGAAAGAATCTACTTCATTGATTGGTGTGCAGATTTTTAAAAAGTAGTTCATGTAAATCCTTAGCAGAACAGCTGACATATATAGTACTCAATAAGTGGTGGTTAATGTTCTTACAAATTGGAAACAAAATCCAATCTTTGAGAAGTATTTGTAAATCTACCGACTGCAGCTGAATTTCAGAAGGTGACAGTGACATAGAGCTAGCACTTAGATGCCTCCAGTCACCCTGAGATGTCCAAGTCCTCTCTTTAACAGGTGCCTGCCAAGACCAAGAAAGAGAGAC